CAGTCTGTGCTCCTGAGGCCGGGCCAGGCACGGGGGTAGAAGCAGCAGCTGGTTCTCCTCCGGTGAGCGATGAGGAGCTGCAGTGCAAGGGGAGACAAGAGCAGTGTGAGACAGAGCTTCCCTGTACTTCACTGGGACCCCCTTCTGAAAACCACCAGCTCAAGAGATTTGCTCAAGGCAGGAGGATGGCCAGTGCCAGGTGGCAAGTGGTTCCAACTGGACTAACACCAGTCAAATCTTCCTGTTCCTGGGAAACCTCACTGCAAACCCACCAGGCAGTAGGTGTGACTCCAGACAAGATGCCCAGGTGTTGCAGATGGAGTTATCTGGAAAAACCCCTTTTTGGGGTGGCCACTCCCTCTGGGGGATTATATTGTAATGAGCATTACTGGATTTGCAGCTGCCGAGGGAACTGTGGGCTAAGTCCTGATTTGGAAGGGGGAGAGAGCACCCCTCAAGTGTGGGAATCATGATTTGGAAGGAGAAACTCCTGGCCTCTCCACAGGAATTGTTTTTCTGTTATGAAATTCCACAATGCAACTTTAAACTAAAAAGAGGCTTTATTCACCTTCTTCAGCCACTGCCCAGACTAGTAGGTTCTTCGTGTTCTGCCCCAGCTTGTCCTTGCTGCCAGGGATACATTGTATCCCCCATTGCATCCCCCACCTTTGATGTCACCACCTCCTTCACATCCCCATGTCCTCTGCATCCATCATCCTTTGTGTTCAGCATCACATCCTTTGTCCTTCAAGTCCCATCCTTTGTGTCCCTGTCTTTGTGTCCTACAGAATCTCCACATTCCCCATCCTTTGTGATCTCTGTGTCCTTCCGGTCCCACATCCCATGTTTTGGGTCCCACCCTTTATGTCCCTCTTGTGACTTCCCGGTGCTCTCCATCCTTCCCACCACGGTCCTTTGCATCCTGCACCCTCTCACTGTCTATTTTTTGTGTTCCTGTGACCTGTGTACCCCGTGCCCCAAATCTCCCATGACCATGTGTTCCGTGTCTCACGTCCCTCATTCATCCCGTGTCCCCGTGAGGTCCTCCGCATCCTCCCATCCTCCATGTCGCCGTGACCTCCGCGCGTCTCCGGTATCCCCCACCCTTTGCGACCCCGTGACTTTAGTGCATCCCCCGTGACCCCCCCATCCTTTCCGTCCCCGCCATCTCCACGTGTCCCCCACATCCCCGCACCCTCCGTCCCCCGTGACCCGGTCCCCGCGTGCCGTTGTCCCCACGTCCCGTCCAGCCTCCCTCCCGCCCATGGCGGCCCCGCCCCGCTCACCGTCATGAGCCGCTTCTGCCGCTGGCTGTAGTAGTGCCGGAGCCAGGCGCGCCGCTGCGGCCCGTCCCAGCCCCCGGCACCGGCTCCGCTGCCGCTGCCGCTCCCGTTCCCGGCGCCGTTCCCAGCCATGGCCCCGGCGCGCCGCCGCCGCCGCCGCCGCGCCAGCGCGCACAGGAGCACTAGCAGCCGCTCCCGCATTTTCAAATCGGGAGCCGGGGCCGCCCTGGAAGTGATCGGTGGTGGGGTCACGGTGGAACCGGGGGGCGGGACGGGGCGGAGCCGCTTCGCTCCGCGCGGCACGGCGCGGCTCTGCACGGCTCGGTACGGATATCCCCATCCCTGACTGCAGCTCACCGTACAGACACTCCCATCCACACCGCACCGCACCGGCCTCCCCCATCCCCGCAGCACCACCACCCCCTTCCCCATCCCCTTCCCCATCCCCACAGCACCTCCCCCCTTCCCCATCCCCGCCTCTCCACACTGCTCTGCACAGCTCTGCCATCTCCATGCCCATCTCTGCCATCACCATCACCAACTCTCACCAAACCACACCGTCCCATCATCTCCATCCTCACCACCATCCTCATCCCAACCCACTGTCTTCCTGCCTCCAGGCTGGAAAAGGGTCAGTGGGCTCAGGTGCAGTAAGGACTGGCACTACAGAAACAAGGAAAACTGCAACAACAAAATCCCAAATCTGATTGGATTTGCAAGAAGGGTTGAAAAGGCTGGAAAAGACTGGACAAAACTCACCGGGTTCAGTTTGGACAAGGACTGGCACCAGAGTGAGAAAAGGCCCAACCACAGACAGGCAGTGCCAGGGCCCTGATGGTGCCCAGTGAAAGGAAGAAGAGAATAAGATGAATGTGTCTTTACAAACAGACTGTGTGAATCTGCTTGTAGATAGGGCCAGGGACTTGTAGATAAGGAAGTAACAGGAGAAACCATCCATTTCAGAAAGTGTTACTAATTCACTTGGACTGCTGCTCAGCCAAGGTCCTGCTAAACTCCTGAACTTGGAGAAGGAGAACGAAGACAATAGAACTATGAATCTCATATGTTAAATAAAGGGGGGATGCATTTTAGAGGGGGACATACAGTAGGAAATTCAGGAAGTTTGTACCTTCCAAGTACCTCAGCCAGTGGAGAAAAGGAGAAGGTGATGTGGCCATGAAAATTAGGATAAAAAGGAGGCTATATCCCCCAACAGTTTGAGAGACACCATGGGAAATGCCCCATGGCCTCTCCCTTTATTCGTGAATAAAGTTACAGGACTCCTCTGTCTCCTTTTTGGACATAAACCTCTGGTATCACGATATTTCCACACACCTGGGTGTAATGCCAGGGCCTGGATGCTACTCCAAAAGTGGTGCCCACTCTCCCAAAACTTGTTAGGTTTCCAGACGTGCCATGTCTGGGCAGATCCCATAGGTCTCCTGAGACAATTGAGAAAGTGGGGATGCCTGCAGGGAAGCTCCTCATGGCCTGAGTCCAGGATCTGTTGGATGGAATCATCTTGAGTTCTTGAGGCACTTTGGGCATCACAAGGTCAAAAGGACCCAAAGCTGTTGGAGAGTGTCCAAAGGAGGGACACGGAGCTGGGGAAGCTCTGAGGAGCAGCTGAGGGCACTTGGCTCGTTCAGCTGGAGCAGAGGAGACTGAGGGGAGACTCCTCGGGGGCTGCAGCTCCTCCCGAGGGGAGGCAGAGGGGCAGGGGCTGAGCTCTGCTCTGGGCCAGGGCCAGGAGCCCAGGAAGGGCTGGAGCTGTGCCAGGGCTTGGCATGGAGCTCAGGGAAAGGTTCTTCCCCCCGAGGGTGCTGGGCACTGCCCAGGCTCCCCAGGGAATGGTCCCGGCCCCAAGGCTGCCAGAGCTCCAGGAGCGTTTGGACAGCGCTCTCAGGGATGCTCAGGGTGGGATTGTTGGGGGGTCTGTGCAGGGACAGGGGCTGCCCTGATCATTCCTGAGGGTCCCTTCCAGCTCAGGATATTCCAGGAGTCTATGAATGATTCTGTTCCGTCTCAGGGCTGCAGTTATCAGCTGTTTCTTGTCGAAAATAACATACAAGGGAGCATTAAAGAGAGACTTTATTATGTAAGGCTGAGCTGAACAGGGAGGTGCAAGATTAATATCAGGGAATTGCATGCAGCTCACTGCACTGCTGCAGTAAGACAAGAATGGGTGGTTGTGCTGTCTGCAGAGAGGCATCCCTCTGCCCTCCAACGAGCACCCCGAGTCGCTGGCACCAGCCCCTCTGTGGGCATGGGCAGGAACAGGGTGGCTCCAGCACACACCAGCACTGAGAAGGGCATGGGGCCGCAAATCCTCCTGCAGCACCTGCCCCTGGCTCCTCCCGGGCCATGTGGGGCTGAGCTCTGGGGGAGCAGCAGCCCCTGGCCCAGTGCCCTCCCAAGAGTGTGGTGGGCACACAGCTGGTTTCCCCCCACTCACTCCATAACTCCCTGAGAAGAGTAATGGGTATCAGAGATTAGGAATGGGGGAGACACAGATACTCTGCGGGGTCGTGAGGGGCCCTACACTGAGTCACAGACAATCTCGGGGGGGGGGGGGAGGGGGCACAGGAATCCCACACCCTCCTGGAGGGGCCAGGACCAACCTCCAGAAGCCAAGAGGCCTCCCAAGGACCTGAGGACCCCCCTAAAGGACCCAAGAACCTTCCCCAGAGACCCAAGAACCCCTTCAGGGACCAAGAAACTCCCACTAAGGAGCCCCCCAAAGACCCAAGGACCCCCTAAAGGATTCAGGGAGCCCCCCTCAGGGATACGATGACTCCCTTCCAGGGATCAAGACGCTTTCCTAAGAACTCCTCAAGGACCAAGATAATTCCCTTAAGGACTATAGAACACTCCTCCCCCCCACCAGCGGGGGGGAAGGACCCAAGAATTCCCCTCCCAAGGACCACCAAAAGGACCCGTTTGTGGACCCAAAGACTTCCTTAAGGAACCCAAGGGGCCCCTCAGAGGCCCAGCAGTCTCCGGGCCGGTGCCCTCCCGGAGGGACACACACAGACACCGGAACCCCCCGCCATGACGTCATGTCCAGGTTGTGACGTCACCGGGCCCGTTGCCATGGCGCCGCGCGTCGCCGCTTCCTGTGTGTGTTCGAAGCGGCGGGCGGGGCTCGCTCCCGTCGTGCCCCGCGCGGGGGCGGGGGCGGCCGCCATGTTGTGTAGCGGCGGGGCCGGCGGGTGCTGACGGAGGAGGCGGAGCTGGGCCGGGCTGGGCCGCCTGGTGGCACCGGCACCGCAGCAGGTACGGCTGGGGCAGCGCCTGGGGCACGGTAAGGAGCACAGCATGGAGCATAGCATGGAGCATGGCATGGCACAACACGGCGAGGCGGAGAGCCTGCAGCAAGCTTGGGCCCCGCACTTTACCCCGGGGGCACGGGCCTGTGGGCCGGGCCGGGCTGTGCGGAGGGGCCGGGCTGTGCTGGGCCGGGCCGGGCCGGGCGGGGCTGGGGGTGCCTTGCCTCCTTTCGTCCCTTCCTCCCTCCCTCCCTCTCGCTCTCCCTCGGCAGCCGGTCACCGAGCAGCCCCGCCTCTCTCTCCCCGCCCGTTGTGGTGCCTTGTCAGCCCTGGCAGGATGGGCCCAGTCTGTGCCGGTTCCTGCGTGCTCAGGTGCTCTGTGCCCTGTCACGGCAGGGCTGGTGAGCCCCAACGCTCCAGTGTGTTTGGTAACGGGCATCCCGCACCTGCACCCGGGGCCGGGGCTGTGCAAAGCAGCTGGAAGCTTGCAGTGTAACCCCTTCGCTCGGTCCGTGTGCCCTGGTCATCTGGGGAAAGACGCAAAGAGCCGGAACCTGGATCAGCTCTTGGTTCTTGATCAAGTTGGTAACACAATCGGTAACAGAGATTTTAGTGGTGTGGATCTTATTCTTAAAGGGATCTGCCAAGCAGCAACAGCAACTTTGGCCAGCAGTCTCTTGTTTACGTACAGCACCGGTGCATGTGCCCCTGCTCACCCTATGGCTCTGGCGTCTGAGGGAGCTCCTTATCGCTGTGTGTTTCATCAGGGTATTTTTAGCCTGTTGTTGATATTTTGCACGTGGGATTTGTACGCAGGATCAGCCTGATCTGGAGGTCCTCCAGGTGGTTAGAAGGTTCTTCTGGGCCAGGGCAGTTTGTCAGGTCACATTGGAGTCACCTCAGGAAGATGTTTGATTTGTGGCACGGAGGATTGTTTTTCCTTGATTTGTAGCTCTCTTGAAGGCTTTGTGCCCATTTTCTTATGATGTGCTGATTCTTCCTTCGTGTATTTAATAACACCCCAGTAGTGCAGAAGGTTCTTCAGAAGCAGTCCAGCTGTGAGCACCAAAACCTCACTGTAGCCTTCTAGAACCTGAGGGAGCTGACAAAAAAGATGGAGAGACTATGTACAAGAGCCTGTAGAGACAGGAAAAGAGGGAATGGCTTCCCACGTACAGAAGGTGGGATTAGATGGGATATTGGGAAGGAATTGTTCCCTGGGAGGGTTGGCAGGCCCTGGCACAGAGTGCCCAGAGCAGCTGTGGCTGCCTCTCGATCCTGGCAGTGTCCAAGGCCAGGTTGGATGGGGCTTGGAGCAACCTGGAATAGTGGAAGGTGTCCCTGCCCATGGAAGGGAGTTGAAGGAGATGAACTTTAAGGTGCCTTCAAGCCCAAATCATTCTGGGAGTCTATGATCTTGTATTAGTCTGATTTTGGTTTTTTGATTATTATAATTGATACAGAAGGAGAGTTTTCTGGGGCTGTTGACTGAGGCTGTAATGTTTTGTAAATTCTATAGTTTATTTTTGTAGTTTGTCCAGGGGCACCATTGCATCTTCATTACCTTAAGTGTTATAATGAAGCAGAGTTTTAGATGCCTGAGCTTTCAGTAAAGCTCTGAGGACAGGGCTGCTGGTGAATTTTTTAATCTCTGCTTGTAGTGCACTGAATTCTTCTTTACTGGAAGTCTTACCAGAATGTGTATCTATAAAGCTGGTAGTTCTAGCTGTCTTTATGCACTTGGAAGTACAACATAATTGGACAACTGTCTCCTGTGGATTTTTTTGAAGGGAAACGGAATGTTATTAAAGTCAGTGGCTGTATGAAAAATGTGCTCAAACAGAATAGAAACTACTAAACAGAAACAAAAAGCCCTGAAGATTCTGTAAGTTGTTCGAAAATTCAGACTGTAGCATTTTCTTGTTCTTTTTTCTGCTCCTAAGTCAGTCCTCTTTGAGTCTGGAGTGACCAACATGTAAAAACTTATAAAAAAAACTTCCTAAGAAGTGTCTCTAAGATCCAAGTACTTCACTCTGTACATCCCTACTCCCTTTTTACTAGCCCCCCCAGGTTCAATCCTGTGCCCAGTGTTGTTTAACTCATCCGTCAGTGGTTGGATGAGGGGGTTGGTGCCTCCTCAGCTGCTGACACAGAGCAGGAGCAGTAGCCAGTCCCCCCCAGGGCTGTGCAGCCTTGAAGAAGGGCCTCGACAGGCTGGAGAGGTGAGCAGGTAAGAACTGTCAGAACTTCAGCAAGGTAAATGTAGGCTGCTCCACCTGGGAGGGATAACCCCAGTCCAGGCTGAGGCCTGACCTGCTGGAGAGCAGCTGAAGAGGGCCCTGGTGAACAACAGAGTGTTCCTGACCAGCTGTGCGTCCCAGGGGCCAAGGGGCCAGTGAGATCCTGGTGTGCATTAGGAAGAGCATTGCCAGCAGGTTGAGGGAGGTGATCCTGCCCTTCTTCTTGGCCCTGGTCAGGCAAATCTGGAGTGCTGTGTCTAGTTCTGGACAGGATGGACTTGGAGCTCTTGGAGCAGGTCCAGGGGATGCTGCGGAGCTGCTGAAGGGACTGGAACATCTCTCTCTTCAGGAAAGGCTCAATGAGCTGTGTATGTTCAGCCTTGAGAGGAGACACAGGTGAGAGGGACCCTCAGCCCTCATCCTCTCAGTGTCTGCAGGGAGGGCTCAGAGCAAAGACCAGGTTCTGCTCCCAGCAATGGGACAAGAGGAAGGGGCAGGGATTGATACCTCAGAAGTTCCATTTGAACATGAGGAAGAACTACCCTGTGGAGTGACTGAGCACTGGAACAGGCTGCCCAGGGAAGGTGTGCAGTCTCCCTCACTGAAGATACTCCAGAAGTGTCTGGACACAATCCTCTGCCATGTGTTCTGGGATGACCATGGAGGTGGGACCAGATGACCACTGTGGTCCTTCCAGCCTGACCCACGCTGTGATTCCATGTAGCACTGGGATATGCAAGGCAGTGGTGGAGTCCTCATCCCTGCAGGGATTTAACAGACATGTGGATCTGGTACCTGGGGCATGGTTGGTGGTGGCCTTGACATTGCTAGGGGGACAGTTGGACTCTGATCTTAGAAGGCTTTTCCAACCTAAATGATTCTTTGATTCGACACAGAATAATTAAACAAGTATCTTCTAGGTGATTACCAAAATAGGTGCCATCATATGGTGGTTGAAAGCAGAACCTTTGTTTTTCCTGTCTGTCTAGTGACTTGTACAAAATGTTTTTTTGTGGGGAAAACTGCTGCCAGGTGATGGTGGAAGCAGAAGTGCTGTGGCTGTAACTGGCCCTCTGTGGAGGCCAGTGACTACCCAGAGCTCGGCTCCTATATCCAAGGGGAGTTCTGGAGGCCAGGCAGTGTGGAGAGAACTGTGGGGTTTGATCAGGCCCTGCCTTGTGAGAGGCACGTGTATTTGGCACTGGCTATGTCCTAGACTGAGATGAAATCTCAAAGCAGAACGTTGTAAAGTTAGTGCATGTCCCCTCCTTGCCAAGAAGTACCTTGGGGAAATAACACCCAGCCCCTTCCCCAATGCAGGAATTAGCCTTCAGCATCTGCAGAAGGGACGGAGTTCTGTGCTGTTCTGCCTGAGCATGTGGGGACCAGCAGGAACCTCTTCCACTGCAAATGGGACCAGCAGAACTTGCTCAGCACTTGGTGTTTCTCAGGCAAGATCTGCTGGAGCTGAATCTGCTCTTCACCCCTACCCTTGGAGCATCCCCGAGCCAGGTGACAGCCAACACAGCCCAGGGGTACAGGTGCTGCTTCACCAGGTGCCTTGGCCAGTTACTGCATCTCTGAAACTGGAGAGTTCCTGCTGCTGCCTCTTGTTTGTTTTGCTTTTGTAACAGATAAACCTCTTTAAGGAGACTTCCTGCTAATTAGGGGCTTTTGGCCCATGAGCAGGAGGTACCATCAAAGTGTCCCCATGTGCTGTGCTTTGTTTCTCAGTGCAAGGCTTCCTGTGCTGGTGAGGACTTCATGCTGTATTTTGTATTCCCTGGGAACAAGTGTGTCCCTCTTATTTATAGAGCATCATGGTGAAAGGGTGAAATGATCACCACCTGCAAGCAATAAAAAAGGGGTTTAATAGTGGTGATTTTCTGAGAAATCCCCTGCTGAGTGCATGGTTGTCATGTCTGCTTGGATAAGCTCTGCACTGCCAAGAGACAATGGTACGCTGCAGTGGGATGTGTATTGAATGAAAACGTCATCTGTGAAGGTAAATAACAACCCTACAGTTCTCCTGACTTATTCAAAACCGGCTGAGGCAAATTTGGAACCCCTCAGCAAGTGGCCTGGCTGCTGTGTGGCTGCATCAGTGGGGGTGCTGCTCGTTCTGATCTTTGTAGTTACCCATCACTTGTATTTGAGCTTCAGTTGAATGGTTGAAAATAGCCTGGTCTTTGGAGTACAGGCTTGACTGTCATCTTCCTTTTTTTTCCTTTAGTTGTGGAGGAAAAAAGGATTTAGCAAAAACATCTATGCTGAAAGCAGTGGTGATACCTGAGCATCATCTGTGTGAGAGACAGCAAGAATTATGTTCCTGGTGGGCTTTTTGGAGTGTCCGCTTTGAGGAGCACTTACATTTAAGAGCAACTGTTGTGTATACAAAAATCCTGATGAAAAACTTTTGGGCTTGTGATGGTGTACTGAGAAGATCTATTAGATATTAGGAAGAAATTCTTCCCCATGAGAGTGGGGAGGCCCTGGCACAGGGTGCCCAGAGCAGCTGTGGCTGCCCCTGGATCCCTGGAAATGTCCAAGGCCAAGTTGGAGGGGGCTTGGAGCAACCTGGGATAGTGGAAGATGTCCCTATCCATGGCAGGGGTGGCACTGGATCAGCTTTGAGGTGCCTTCAAGCCCAAACCATTCTGGTATTCTGTGATTAGTGGTGGCAATATTTATCTTTGGTAAAGGCCCTTCCAAAGACAGAGACTTTTCTCTTTCCTGAACCTGAAACTCAGAAACCCTGAGTTTCTGCTGACTCGTGATAGTCCAGGCCATAAACAGAGCTCTGTGTCATGAGCATCACGCCCTTGCCTCCCACAGGCTTCCTGCAGCCTCGGTCATCAGAGTGCCCTAAATTTTTGTGGTCTACTGGTCAGAGTTTCTCTGTCATCATGGTAGGATTGTGCATCCCTTTGGGATGGTGGATGTAAAGCTTTACCTGAGCCTCTGAAGCTGTCATGGAGGGTTGTGGGAAGTCTTGAAGCTTGTCTGTAAGTGCAGGTGGAGGTACAGAAGGTCAAATGTTTGTCACCTCTAATCTGGAGTGCAGGTTGGGCCCATGCCTGTGAGGAAAGGGGGATGTTTTGTGCCTGTGAGGAAGGAGAGATGTTTTCTGCCATGGGAAGTGAGGAGGGGCATGGATCACTGTGCATTCAGTTGTATCTCCAGCTTCTGTACTCCTTTTCCAGACTGAGTGGCTGAATGCAGGCAGGAGATGCAACCAGTGGTTTGGCTCTGCCCTTGAACCACTCTGCCTTCAAATAAAACTGGATTTCAGTTTGTGTGTATTGCTGGCCACTAAAAGTTGGCACGTTTGGAACAGGGGC